ACCCACTTCAATAAGTCGAAAGGAGACTGCGACCATACCCGAGGCCACAACATCTTGGTCTTCACATCTAAAATTTATTACTTACTAGGTGTCCTTAATAATACCTCGAGTGCACAACCTGAGGTGAAACCCTTCAGGTAAAGACTTTAATATTTCATTGTTCTACCCATGGTATAGGCCCTCTTCTTCGTCTACTAGATCTGGATGTGATTGTGTTTTGGGGATAGGGGCATTGGGCAAATCATTTTGTTTGTTCTGTGTTAAAAACAGAATGTATTTTTCAACTCCTCCGGTAACTCAATATTTAAATGATGCTCTTCTGATTTTAAAACAAACTTAGCAGACTGCTTATTATTTATCTCCGTTTTTAGGTTAAAGTTTACGTCGGACCCAGATTCCTCGTCCGGTGACGAGGAAAGATCATCTTTGTAAATTACTTTTAATGTTACTTCTGCAAATACTATCAAAAGATCTTCACCAAGCAAAGTAGACAAAAAAAATTAAGGATGAATCACATTGAGCTTATATTGACCGAACAACAGAGGGAATTCAAGGAAATTTGAGATCACGCCAAAATTCGATTTTTCAATATATGTATTACCCAATGTGTATGCATGACTCAAAAGCGATCGTAACTCGATAAAGCAGATTTCTACCGAACGAATTTGTCAAAAGCCTTTGTCTGGTAAGGAGCTGGGTATCTTTCCATATAGGATCTCTCTGATAGTCTGCATCGAGGTCTATGACTGTAAAGAGACTTAGTACATGCCATGAAGGATAGTGAATATTAGGTAGCTATGAGCTGCTCAATAAAATCTAGACACGAAAAAATGGGGACAGTCAAGGGTTAGACAACCTTGGTCTTAATAATGTAAACTGCAATTCTTAAGACCGGTCAGGCCCTCGTAAGACTTCTTTGTCAGACAGAAGAAAGCTGAGGTCAAACCAATATTTTGTAGAATTTTGTCGGGAGACCTACCCAAAAGAGCCACAACAGTTCCTTCTTCATCTAAAATCTCCAAGGAACCACTGCACACGAAGTAGATGTATTTGATTACGTCACCGCGGTGTACAAGATTTTCTCCAGGTGTAGCAAAGCAGGTTTGAATAAGCTGAGCTAGACTTTTCCGACAACCGGGACTTGCTGCCGTAAATATGGTAAGAGACAGCATCTCTCGGTTCAAGTGCAGCGCAATGTCACCCCGCAATTCCTCGGGAAACTGTTGCAGAATCTATAGGAGATGGTGATAGATTTGTAGACATGCAGACAAGAGAGCAGTAATTTA